TCCTGGTCCCTGGCTGGTGCTCTGAGCTATAACCAGCTCACCCACCCTGGGTTCTGGAGGGAGAGTCCCCCACCCTCCTCTCGCAGGGGCTCCATCCCTCGGGGAGGGAAGTGGGACCTGGCAACTCACCCAGGACAGTCACTTGAAGAGCAGGGGCCGAAACCTGAGAGTCCAGCCAGCGGTTCCTGAACCCACCACTCACCGATACCAACAGGGGGGTAAAAACACATGGATCCAGAACCCTAACCTGGGGGACTGGGACCTAGCTCCCCAGATGACACTGACACCTCTGGCCCAGGCAGGTGTGTCTGATTTCCATCCCTGGCCCCTTGGGGCCCGCTGACCCCTGGCTGGCTCCCACTTCTCCATGGCGCCCCTCGGACACTCTGGGGTGCTGCACCTCCCCCCCTCACGGGAAGGGCTCTCCACTCAGCTTCCGAGTTAAGGTGTGCACCTGGGGCAGGGAGCACCTGGGGGATGTAGGCATGCGTCGCCCCCCCAACCCCGCAGCAGGACATGCAGGGCCACACACCCCTCGCACGTGGCCCGGCTTGGAAGGCACCTGGATTTACTGGGAAAAGCCCCAACTCAGGAAGGCTGGGCCTCGGGAGTCATGGACGCCCTCCCCAAGGTGGACCCTCCATAGAAAACAGGCATCCGTGGGGGAGGCGGAGGGAGAAAGAGGCCTGGCTGGGGTCCCAGGGCGCCACTGGCATGACCACCCTCCGCCGACTTCCTTCCTCCTTCCTCCTGAGGATCCTGATTCATAAACAACGTCCCCCCTGGCCACCCACAGCCTGAGCCACCAACACCCCTCCTGCCGCTCTGGGATCCCCCCCGGGGTGATGATGGCTCAAGGGTGGGGTTTCCCACCGTGTCTCCCAGGGAAGCAGAGACGAGGGGGCGGAGCCAAAACCAGTCTTTCCCACTAACAACAGTGACGACAAATAATAATAATAATAGCAGCAGCTGACACTGAAGACCCCCACGCACAGCTCCATGCCCCCCACCCATTTACGGGTGAGGAAAGGAGTTTGGGCAGACACAGCTATGACTCACCCCAGGTCCCAGGAGGTGCAGTGGGGGTGGGGGACTTGACAGTCTCTCCTTGACTCAAATCTACAGGCTTCTCAGAGCTGCTTTCCAACTACAAGCATCCCTCATTTTTCTGTGCTCTGCAGATACTGTTTTTTTTTAACAAACTGAAGGTTTGTGGCATTGTTAGATGCTGCTTGGCATATTTCAGCAATAAAGTATTTTTTAATTAAGGTACTTACATTGTTTTTTCAGACATAATGCTATTGCACATTTAGACTTCAGTACAGTGTAAACATAACCTTTATACACACTGGGAAACCAGAAAATTCACATGACTTGCTTTACTGCAGTGTATCTGAGGTATGCCTGTAGGTCTTGTCCCTGGGGCATGTCCTCAAGAGGCCAATTTTAGCAAGAATCCTGCTAAGTCAGTTTAGCAAGAATCCCCCAGCCTCGCTCGATATCTAACCAAACTCGACATCTGACCAAGCTACTCATTCCCCACCGTCCCCTGGTGATGTCTGATCACCTGGGCCTGTCTTTAGCAAGAATCCCATTAGGTCAGCTTAGCCAGAACCCCCCTTGGCCCTGGTGTTATTTTACTACCACCATTATTGATGTTCTCAGTCATTTTCCATCTGCTCCCTGTCCCCCGGGCGGTAAATTCCCACCTTTCCTTGTTGTTTTCAGAGCTGAGCCCCATCTCTCTCCTATTTCGACAGCCCCCTGGAATGAAGTCCGCATTGCTGGTTTAACAAGGCCATGAATGTATTTTTTAACAGAGTCCCCCCCTCCCCCCCTCCCATCTCACGTCTGGGTCCTACTGGAAGGAGGACTGTCTGAGGAGCTCAAAGCACCATGGATGGGGAAGCGCAGGCTGGGATCAGACATTGGGAGCAGCAGGCACTCGGGGAGACGCCCCTCACCAGCCCCCTAACCTCACCGCTCACGTCTTCCCTAGATGGGGCAGGCACTTACCTGACTGTCGGAAAACACAAGTGTGAGCATACGGAAATGTTTTGTTTACATCAAGATATATCAAGGCAGAGGATTTCCAAAGACGGCTTGACTCAGTAAAGGAGGAAAATGAGTGTCAGTTCTTTCCTCTTTTCCTTTCTGAGACCCTCGGTTACCCAGTGGCAGTGCTTAGAGGCCACAGTTCAAAGTCCACCACCCATGGGACCCCAGCCGTGGAGGGTGCAGGTGACTGGCGTCAAAGGTTGGAGGAACCGGAGCCAAGAAAAGGAGCTGGGCACCAGCCTGTCAGCTCATCGTAGGCTCTACAAGGTGCGTGTGGGTGAGGGACGCCGGGGCTGGGGGCAGGTGCAGACACGGAGGGGAGCGGGAGGGAGCAAAGGGAGCCAGCCATCCTCGAGCAGCAGAGGTGACGACTAAGGACCAGAGTGATGACCGGCATGAGGCAGGTGCCTAAACACGGCGGCACTCAAAGGCATCCAGCTCAGGACACTCACAGAACAGCACTGTTTGGGGACTGCCCTAGCATCCATCGAGAACAAAACGGCCCAGCAGTGAGGTTGGAATCCATGGGATTCCACGTAAAGCCAGGAGGGTGGACAAGATCTATGTGGAGACACAAGGCTAGGTCTCAAGATCACTGCAGGGAGTCAATGCACATGAGCCGCAAGACAGTAAATATCAGGCAGCACCCACAGGAGCCACCCACGCAGCACCCTGTCTGCCAAGCTCACGCAGGGTGGCCCTGGTGGAGGGAGGGACCTGGCTGGCCACGGGTCCCTGGTTGGTTGGGACGCCAGAGGTGGGACGACTGCTAAATCCTGGCCTGCCTTTCTGCTTTTCCACCCAGAAGCCCAGCTCTAAACCAAGACCCTAAAACTGGCCCAACTGAACCCTGGGCTGATGGGGAGCAAGGAGGGACCATCCCCTTCTCACCCAGGATCGAAGCCACAGGCAGGTCTCAGGTCCAGGACAGCCGCCAAGCGACCCTGGACCAGGAGCTGGCCTTCGTGGACCATCCCCGCCCAAGACGGGCCACGAGTCCTGCCTTCCCTGTGCAGGGCGAGGCTGCCGCCCTGCTCCCCAACACGCACTCCAACCTCAGTGGGCTCACTAGAGTGTCGTCCCGGACTGGTGTCCGCTCACACCCTGGGCCGTCTCCACCTTAGGAGAGCCCAGCCCCAGGTGTCATTGGCTTCCTCTCCCTGTGTCTTTGTCTTGCCCCTGTGGTGCCAGCTGGTGGGTGGGTGAGGGGAGCAGAACAGGGTGATCAGAGGGGCGTTTTTGCTTTCAGACCTGCTCTCAACGTACCGGGGTCCCTGGAGACCCTGAGCCATCAAATTTCCTCATAAGCTTCCAAGGTGGGAAAGCCAGCCAGCTGGAGTGGTGACTCCCAGACTTGCCAACAGAGATGATGAACTACCCAGGGATGAGTCACCCTTTCTCCTGTCATTC